ATATATAAAATGGAATATTATTCAACCTAAGAATTAAATCTTGCCATTTATGACAACATGGATGGATCCTGAAGTGCAGCAAGTCAGAGACAAATACTGTATGATTTCACTCGTGGAATTTAAGAAACAAACGAACAAAGAAGAAAAGAGACAAACCAAAATACCAGACCCTTAACTGTAGAGAACAAACTGATGGTTATCCAAGGGGGGATGGGTGAAATAGGTGAAGGAGATTAGAGTGCACTTATCATGATGAGCACTGAGTAGTGTATAGAATTGCTGAATCAATGTATTGTACACCTGAAATTAACAGAACAGTGTATGTTAACTATACTGGCTTAAAAAAAAAAGTGGGATTTATGGAGTGCTTGCTATGGATCAGGCACTGTGCAAACAATCTTAACAGATAGTAAGTGGGGGTGCCGTTATTATCCTTATTTCACCAATGGTGAGATGGAAGGTTCAGGGGTGGGGTGGACTGCCCAGGCTTACACAGATAGTAGGGGAAAAGCTGGTACAGAAACCATGACTTTCTGATTCCACGGTTTATAAATTCATAATCTTTGGGCTAGTAGTCTAAGTGTTTTTGATTTCACAGCCTTTTTTTTTTTTTTAATTTCTGAACCAAGATCTTTTAAATATGGTTATTTATTTATAAAGTGGACTAATATATTTTGTGGATTATAAAACATTTATGAAAATAGAAATTAAAAAGCATTTACTAAAGAGGGGAGAATTATTTTAAATAATTATTTTCTATTTTAATTTTTTAGTGATAGCAAAAATACTTTTTGCTCTCACTGGATATACATTATTATAAATAATTTCATATGATTAATTTTTAAATGCTTGTGAATCCCAATGGTTTCATGGATCACTGGCAACATCTGAAAGTCTATGAACATACATTTAGGGCCCATCATTAATGATAGTGTATGTGTATCTGTATTTCAAGTGGCCTTTGCGAGGTTTCTGGAGATTTTTGTGAGTTTCTTGTCAGGTCACTTAAGGTCATCCTTACTCCTACTGCCCCATGTGGCTGGCTGGTTGCTCACACTAGGTAGGGGGCATGGTGTGGCTATTTTCTCATTGTTCTTTCATGACTGCATTACAGGTTCTATCTTGCGTCTATACTTCTCTGGATTCCCACTGTGCTAAAGGGACTGTGCTGGGCTCAGGCATTTAGGCAAATCAGCCATGGTGGAGCCCTCATGGAGCCCCTGGTCTGGCTTAATTAACAGATAACTGCCACTGAGGGCTAGCCCACATGTACATTACAGGAAAGCATGTTATTGGAGGCTTACGAGCAGGAGAGCCAGCCCAGACTAGGGATCAGAGCGGGAGGGGGGAGAGTAACACACATGGGAAGGGAGAGGGACCTTCCAGGCAGAGGCTAGAGCACGAGTAAAGGTGAGAACACGGAGGTGTGAGGGAGAGGGGTGGGCATGGGGAACTTGCCTGTCTTTGGTACCGAAACAGCACAAAGAGGAGGGAGTCGGTAGGGGCAGATGATGATGCCGGGGTGGGTCACTGAGGCCTGGTGGCAAATGCCATTAGCCTGCTTATTGAAGGCACCCATAATAATTATTCTAGGCACAATAAGAGTAAGATAAACAAAGTACCAATAAGAACTCCTGGGCACGTGGCTCTATGCTCTGCCCACACCTCTCATAAACAGCAAGTTTATAAGACAGACACCCAGGTGATTGCTTTTCCGGCCACTGCCCGTCAGCCAGTGTCAGGCCTAGTGTATTCAGCCACTCTCAGTTATAGCCTGCAACCGTGTGGTCACAAGCCCTTCCTTTTTCTGTCTGATGGTAGCTACAAATGAGGGGAAGGCGGAAGACCAGAGGACTGAATGCACCTTGGAGTATAACTAGGAAACGGCCCTGCCAGGACAAGCGGTAAGACACCATCTATTTTTGTGAGCTAAGAAGGGCTGCCTTTTGAGGGACCCCATTCACTAGGGACCGGGGTGGTTTAAGGCAATGAGGATTTGGGATCACAGGAGCAGCCTCTCAGGCACTCTGGCCCACAGGCACCAGCACATCATCAGCAGTGCTTTTGGAGGGGGAGAGGGAGAGCTGGAAGTATGTTCCTGGAGGAGGCCACAAAGGACAGTTAAACAGGTATTTCCCCTGTAGATCTGGGCCCTGCATTTCCCTTCCTTCTTTCTTTATCCTTCCTGTCACCCACCACTCTCTGCCAGCTGAATGCACTGTAGCTTTTCCGTGCAACTGAGTGTTTCTCCCTGGCAGATAATTCAACTTACTCCACCTCCGCCAGATGGATCTCCCAATGATGGACATGTTGGAAAGCACAATCGGGAAGTTTCTGAAGAGCTTAGACCAATGCTGCTGAATAAGTCCTTTTACCATGTGTGTATTAAGGTGCAGCTAGATTTTTTCTTTGTGCCTCTTTAGCTTTTCTCCTGATTATCACAACAATACACGCTCATTGTAGAGCCTTTTGCACTTGCAGCAAACTGAATGGGAACAGAGAGAAATGGGCTCTTATGCTTCTTGGAGAACAGCACGGTTAGCATTAGCCTTTTCTTCCTGGCATTTTTCTGAGTATGTGTCGGTACTCTGTAATTTGCATCTTGCCTTCTTTCGTCCACCATTTGGTAAGTGCCCTGCCTCCAACATCGTAACACATGGGTATACGGGCAGACCCCAATTTGCCAAGTGGTTCATTTCCCACCTGTTACTTACCTGCGTTGTTTCCAGGTTGTTTGCTTTGCTATTAGAAATTCCCTGCTGTGGTGAAGAGCGCTGTCGTTCTCAAGCGTGACCTGATGCGACTGTGAGGACTGAAGGCCCCTGCCCCACAACCCAGTGTGCATCCGTACCTGTGGCCTTCGGCTCACCCGGGGTCTCCGCTTTGGCGAAGGTGCTCACGATCTTGATGTCGGGGAAGAGGGTCACCCCTCTGGCACTTTCAAACTGGGCGGCGGGTCTCCAGAGGCGGTCCGTGCCACGGAGGCTGATCTGGGGCTCGATGGCCTGCAGCACCATCACATAGGCATCCACGTCGGGGACGCTGATGCACACATCTTCTCCAAAGCACCTGGGAAAACAGCCGCAGTCACGGCACTGACGAGCGAGTGATAAAACCATCCATCGCGCGGCTGTGGACAAGGATCCACACAGCCATCTCTCGTTCTCAACAAGGTATCCTGACTGCCTCAGAGTCTCTGACTGTGTCAACAGACATTCAGATTTAAAGCCACATTAAAGTCAAAGCCAATAGCAATCTAGGGGCTTAGGAAGATCAGCTTCTGGGAGAAATGGGAATCTTCGATACCAGCAACAAGTAACTGTTAAACCTTTAATTATCCTTTAACGAAGTAATCAGTGGCAACATGAATTAGATAGCAACTGCTTCAGATGTGCATTAGGATTTGGTAAGCAAATTGTTGTCTAACTGGGTTGAGGAGCAGCACCTTGCTGAGACCCCGGGGCTAAACTCTCCTGCGCTTTTGTGTGTTTTCTCTCTCTGAGGCCATCTCACAGTGTCCCTGTTGCAGCTGTGGTGCTGCTGACCACATTCCTTTCTCCTGATGCACGGCCACAGAAATATCCAGAAGGCAGAATGGTGTGACAACACAAGCAAGGCCTGGGAAGTTAGATAAGGGTCCATGGCCTGGCTCTGCCACCACTGGGCTGGGTGACTGTGGGCAAGGTACGACTCCTGTGAACCTCAGTTTCTCCATCTATACAATGGTGATGACAATAATTAATTACCTTTTAGTAGGAAGGATTCAAGGTGATGATGTACAGAAAAGAGGCTGACCCCAGAACCTGCACCGTGGAGCTCATGCATCATGTTGGCGGATCCAACACCCTTATCACACTCTATCACTAGAACTCTATCACTCATCTAGGCCAAAGACAGAGGCTATAATGGCGGCCCAGATGGTTGCTCTGAGAACGCTGAGTTGACTCCAGCTGTGGCGGCCATCAGCTTGTATCTCTTGGGAAAGTTCCTGAGAGAAGTGCAGTCTGGGTGACATCATGCTGAGCCACATCTTCTTTGGGGTGGGCCAGATGTGGGAGTGGTGGTTGTCTCCTGCTCCCGACTTTGGCCTTTTCTGCACCAACCCCGGAAGGTACCCTGTCCCTCATCAGTTTATGGAAACCTGGTCCCAGAGGTAGAGACTGGCCAGCCTAGTCCCTCTACTTGACTGCAGCTGTCCCGGAGGTGCTTGCTCCCTGGTGCAGGCCTCCAAGGGTGGCCCTTAGTGTGAAGGTGGATGCACCTTCTCTGTCACTACAACTATTCAATCTAATTGCTGCCTAATCTAATGGCACCTATCCCAGGGCCCAGTAATGTGGCAGTCAGCAGCCTCATTCTTCCCTGCCTTGTTCCTGGCCTTCTGGGTTCTTCTCCTGGCTCCAGGGGCTGGGTGACTCCACTCCCACCTCTCAGGAGTTTTTCTGGGGGTTCCCCCCTTTGCTGCCCTCCCGGGCAGTTGCTGTGGCTGAGAGATGACTTGACAGGCCAAGAAGGGAGGTATCCACAGATTTCACTAATAAACGGTCGCATCTCCTTAATTGAACTCTGATTCCCTGGGGACAAGAACCACACCCTCTTTTCAGACTCCTGGTACTTAGGAGATCTCTACAAAGCTGGGCAATTTGAAGCTAATTTAATAAACATTTGTTAAGCACCTGTGTACCCACCAGCTACGGTACCCTGAGATCAGACCACTTAAAACCAAGCTTTCTGAGAATTTACAGAAAGCAGTACTACATCAGATTCTGAATTAAATGGAGAATGCTGGATTGGTGTTGACAAAGCAATAGAACATTTTCTTTAAGAACAACAAGGGGAGAACACTGATTCACTGGGGCATCCTCACAGGGACAGCAGAGAAATTGAGAATTAGCTGAAGAAAGGTGAATTGTTTTGCCAGGGAGCATGCCCCATCCTTGCTGCCTCAGCTGGGCCCCTAGTTGACCAGCACCTGTCTACTCACTGGACTTTGGAAGAGACTCTCAGGCGCCGCACACCTGCCGTCGGGAACTGCCTGGAGTTGATGTAGGAGACCTTCTGGAGGGCACGATTGATGTTCCCAATATCGTCACCTTCCATCACCAGGACAGACTGCGAGGGGTTGAAGTGGTACTAGAGGAGGAAAGGGGCATCATGGGGGAGAATGATCAGCGACGGAGCCCTCCACCTCCATGGACCACAAAGGCCTGGTGTCTCCAGAGCGTCTGCAAGGGCAGCAGCCATGAGCACAGATGAGTGTTTTAACCCCTCAAACAATTCCTGCTCCGCCCCGCCCCCCTGGCGGGGCTTCCAGGCCTGCCCTTTAAGACCTTTAGGGGTTATAAACTCCAAAGCCATAGTATAAGATTCTGGATCCCCATCACAGGTCTCTTGTGATCTAGCCCTTGCAGGGTGGCCCATGCTCTGTGCTGCTGTGGGGTCCTGACCAGCCTTTCAGCCCTTAGACAGACTGCCCCCTCAGCTGAGTGCCTGGAAACTTGGGGTTTTGCTCCTTTCACTGGTCTTGTCTTTGGCCTTGAACTCCTCCTCAGTTCACCCTGTGCTCCCCTTCCTGATTCATGGCAATCTTCTTAGCTTCTGACCTTAAAGCTCATTTTTTAGTTAACGGCTCTCCTTATATCTGATTCCTGGTCTTTTTTTTCCTGGTGCTCCACTCTGCCTTCCCAAGAGTTTTGCTCACTTTCTGTTTACACTCTTGCCAGCTGTCCCAGGTCTGTTATCTGTTCATTTCACTGAGTCCCTGGTATCCCATACTTGGTGAAGGCCCCGGGACTATAATGCTCTCCACCAAGTCACTTGAGTCCTCAAGACAGATAAACCAGATACAGACTTCTGCTTCTCTCTGCAAAGCCCTAGCAGTTACTCTCCTCCAAATGGAGCACAGAGAACTGCTTTGGTGCTGGTCTGACTTACTGATCTTCACATGCTGCTGAGCAGGAATTATTAGGAACTGTTGTCAGTAAGATGTCAGGAGCTTATCAGTGGATTCAGATTATGTATCCAAAGTTCATATCAGAGGAAAAGGAGATCTGGTTATCTATCTATCCATCTATCTATCATCTCTACACCCAACATGGGGCTTGAACTCACAACCCTGAGATCAGAGTCACATGCTCTTCTGACTGAGCCACCCAGGCACCCCTGATCTGGATATATTTTTATGCCAACATTTTTTTGGATAATATATTCACATAATTCAAATATATATATGTTCTAAGTGAAAGTGTCCATCTTATTCATATCTCTTACCCAGTTTCCAATATCCTGTCCCACAAGTAATCAGTGTTCTATTACTTTCTTAGTGGCAAATTGCATTATTGTTCATGATTACCTGCTTCCCCTCCCAGTGGGAGGCTTATACATGCCTGACCTATTGTCAGTAGACTTGATTATGTGACCTATGGAACCATTCCCTGCAAGACACACATCTTTCCCTTTTGTAGTCAGTAGTGGTCATGTGACTTGCTTGGCCAATTAAGTGTGGGCAGAAGTATTATTTGGTTCACACTCATGTAGACGATTTCACAGCTAGTTCATGGTTTCCCATGTCCCTTTCCCTCTGCCATGAAACCTGCCAAGTTCCCTTAGGGTCTGGTCCAGCAGCCTGGTCTCACAGTGCTGGTGATATGGATCAGAGCTGAAGCCAATCTATGTAATGGACATTAGGTGTGAACAATGACAACAAAAAGTTGGATAAGCCACTGAAATGTTTAAGTCACTTGTTAGAGCAGCATGACTTAGCCTACCCTGAAAGTTATATGTAAGCATTCTTAGGAATATAGATTTCCTTTTTTCTCCTTTCTTCCACCAAAAGTAGCTTTTTACATACTTTATCATACTTTGTTTCTTCACTTAGCTCAAATCTTGGAGATCTTTCTGTATCAGTACATCATAAACTTTTTTTTATAGTTGTATAATATTCTACTGTGTAATTTTTTTTCAACCAGTTTGTTACATTTGGATTATTGCCATTCTTTTACTAATAGTTCCACAATGAATAATCTTGTACACATTTCATATGTATGCAAATATCTATGTATTGGATAAATCCCTCCATGTGAAGTTATTAGGTCCAACAGTATATGCACTTTTAAGTTTTGACAAATGTTGCCTAATTCCCCCTTGCTAGGGATTATATATATCAACACAGGCTCCCTCTCCCAGCATATGGGAATGCCTCTTTTCTCAAAACCTCAACAACAGAATATGCTGTCATTTGAGATTTTTGCCAGCCTGATAGGTGATAAATGCTACCTTCCTGTAGTTTTAATTTACCATTTAGTGTAGGTTTAATCTTACCATGAAGGAGATGGAGTATGTTTTCAGGGGATTAAGGAAAAATCCATCTGTATGAACTTTTCCCTGACTTGGATGCCTTTTTAAGAGTTCCCTGTTCTGTGTCTGGAGGGTAAAATGAAGTAGATGTCCCATGAGCACTATTGATGATACTGACCACCATACAGTCTTGCAGCGTGGCCCCTAGCCAATCAATAGCTTCCACTTTGCCTCCTTCAACTATCATTTGAGTATTTTGTTACCTCCTCCTTGAGGCCACCCCAACTTCACTCATTTACGTCCCCACTGGGCTCCTCTAGTGCTTATCAAATGGCAGTATAATTACTGTAGTACAGTGACCACGAGCTCACAGAAGACAAGGACTCCAACTCCTATCCCTGAATTCCAGAACCTAGCCCTAGTGCCCTATAATCCCATCAGATGAATGAGTGAATGTTCCCCCTTGGCCCACATTCTACTCCTATCACCTCCAGGTTACTCTCCAAAAGGACTTTTTTTCAGTCACTGTTTCCATAGTCATGGCTCTGTGGGAGTCATCAGTGCTTGCTAAACCCTGTTCACCTCTGCATCCTTGGCATCCTGGAGGCTACACTTGCAAAGGCCTCCTGCTGTGTGTGGGAGGGCCACGTGACCACATCTGGCCAATGAGGTGTGAGAGGAAGTGAGGCGGGGCTTCCGGGCTGGGGTAGTCAAAGCCCCCTGGAATGCTCTAGCCTTTTTCTTCCTCCCCTTTGGTGGCTCTGGCGTTGTAGGCAGAAGCCCCACACTGCCTCCCTGGCTTGATATCAGAGAAAAATAAACTTTTAAGCATTAAAACCATAGGGATTTTGGAGTTATTTGCTACTGCAATCGTTTTAAACCCATTTGGAAAAATTGAGCTCCTCCCAGGCAGGATTCTCGCTTACCTAAGTATATGTGGCATCTTTGAAAGATCATGGGCTGTGCGGGTTGCAGTACCCCAGTTACAGTACAGACTACAGGATAAAACAACTTTGGACTACTTGCCCTTTCCAGACTTTATCTCCTCATTTAAAGTAATGGGGATATTAATACCTGTCTGTCTGGGGCTTAAATGAGATAATGTATATAATGAATCTAGTGTGTAAAGGGTGTTCAGTCCTAGATAGCTTTTATTATAATTCTTAACATTGTAATTATTTCTGCCCTGAGTCTTGGCCCACACAGGTGTACCGCAGCCTTCACTGCTCCTCATATCCTATGATCCAGTTCCCTTCTGCCCTCAATGCCCTGAGCAGGGTCTCTCTGATCTGGGAGATCAGAGCCCCAACCCCTCTGTTGGGTGTGGGAGCCCCGGATATACGTGCAGGTGATGATGCCACAGTCATCTTTTCAGTTGGCATCTCCCTTGCTGTGGATGACTCACTAGCATAGTGTGCTCAGCCATAGAGCTGCCCTGTTCTGAGTGTTTTGTAAGTCATTCGGAGATTCAAGTTCATTCTTCTAAAATACCACTTCTGTTCCCATGTGTTTTTATGCCCCCCTACCTCCCCGCAACCCTGCCCTGCACCATCCCTGCTATAGCAGAGTCATGGAGCTGTTGTTGTCTGTCTCCCCCAGCCAACTGTGAGCACCTCCAGGGCAGGGTCTATAGACTTTTCCTCACTGTCACCACAGGGTCTAGCACACGAGACACAGGAGATGGAATAATAAGCCCTGCAGAGGTGGCGGATCTCTAAGCTTCACACAAGGGCTGAACAGGAACCTCAAACAGTTCTTCCAGAGGCTCTTAGCAGCAGCATACTGTGGCAATCAGCAGGGGGCACATTCCCACCACAGCCACCTAAGGAGGGGATGGGTTAGGCCATGTGTTGGATCTCCAATTAATACCCTAGTTTGGCTGCCTGACCATCCCCAGAGCTGCCACAGGGCATGAAGGTGGGCACTGGACTAGCAATAAATTTCGTGCAGGATCAACAAAACCTTCTACCAAACTAGGTTTTTTAAATTTTCTTAATGTTTGTTTATTTTTGAGAGAAAGAGAGAGACAGAGTGTGAGCATGGGAGGGGCAGAGAGAGAGGGAGACAGAATCCGAAGCAGGCTCCAGGCTCTGAGCTGTCAGCACAGAGCCTGAAGCAGGGCTCAAACTTCCCAAATGTGAGATCGTGACCTGAGCCAAAGTTGGACGCTTAACCGACTGAGCCACCCAGGCGCCCATGTTTTGTTTGCTTTAAATTGTAGTGTTACTAAACATAAAGAATTAAAAAAAAAAATCAGGTTCTGTCTCTGTCTCTTTGCCCCTCCCCTGCTCGCTCTCGCGCTCTCTCTCTCTCTCTCTCTCTCTCTCTCTCTCAAATATAAAACCTAAAAATTTAAATTGCAGTGTTACCAACCCTGTGGCATGACTGAGGTTAGGTCTCTGTGTAAGACACACAGTGGCATTAGCATTACACAGGGACAGGAGATGGCTTCCTGGAAACCCAGCAAGAGGTGATAGCAGCCACCTTCCTTTAGGAAGCTGTGCTGTGGCCATGGTGATTCCTTTCTTTGAGCTAAGAAACTACTAGACATCCCCAAAGCTATGGCCTTTGGGAATAGTCAGTTCTCTTAGAGGGCCAGCCAATATCACCAGGCACCTAGCAGGCTGGGAGATCAGTGAAATTCCTGGCCAAAGCCTAGGTCTGTTTCTCCAGGGAAGGCTGGCCACGGCACTCCAGGCACCTAGCCATTCACTTGGACGCCTGCCAGCCCCTCTGGGTTGGGCCAGATGAAGATTTGCCACATTTGAGGCTCCTCTGCTACAAGTGTCAGCTGGTTTACCTTTCAAAAGAAGCTGGGGCAGCATCAAGGGCAAGTGCAAGACCAGCCCAGTTGGAGAAGAGAACTGTGATTTTATTTATTCGATTTGCTAAGGAAGATCTTTATGTCTGTATCTGTATTTATCATCTTATCTACACATATATGTATCTTTCTTTTTCTCTCTCCCTATATGTGTGTGTGTGTGTGTGTATCTATATATAACATACATAGAATTCAGTTCCCACAACATCACAACAAACTACACTTTATACATGAGGGAATTGGAGTTTAAAGGATTACATTCCTTTGCCCAAGGTCACCCAGCTAGTAAATATTCGTACTACGATTTGAACCTGGGAGTAACTTGTCCCAAAGTTTTTGCTCTTTCCCACTCTTCCACATGGTAGAAATGACAAATTGGCAGGGAGTATGTTATGAAAATCAGAACAGGGTGTTCTTCAGGAATGTGGCTATTCCACAGTGTCATGTATGGGTACGAGACGGTAACCACCCCAGCCATCTAATGACTCCAGCCAGGCTGGACAAATATTCAGAAATTGGCATGAGCCGGGGGCAAACAAGTGGAAAGAGGAACCGGGCCAGTCCTGTGAGCAGACGGAAAGTTTTGTTAATTAGAGACAGACCTCACTTCCTTTGACTAGCTAGGGAGGAGGGAAGAGGCGAGGCACAGGTAAAAGAGAACAACAGTATTCAGGAATGAGATGAGGGATCAATGGACGAAGGACAAGGAGGAAGGAAGTCTGAGTGATTTTCAAGAATGCCTTCTACTCTGAGTTGCTGGTGTGGAGGAAAGAGCACAGACTTCTTTTGGGCAAGTCCCTGAGTCCCAGTCTCCTTATTTCTGAAATGGGGCCATAACATTTAATCTGTTGTGAGGAGTAGGGCTAATGAACTTCGAATAGCCCCCAGTGGGTACACCATAAATTGTGTGTCTTATCATTAACTTCCCCGCAGTGCTCTGCTTCTTGCCAGCTGTGCTCTAAGGATGGAAAAGGATCCTCTGCGGTGACTGCTTATCAACAGGTGGCCTCCTAGAAAGTTGGAAGAGCCTCCCCACCCTCCAGGGTGGTGTGTGCCATTTAGTTTACACCCCCTCTTTTCACAGCCTCTGGCTGCTCTGGAGAGACTGCCATGCCTTTCCATTTATGATCCTAAGAATGTGTGGCTTTTCAGTCCAGTATCTTTGGTTTATGTGTTCTGTGGTGCCGGAATCCTGAAACTATGGTCTCACGGGATGCTCCACAGCAGAGCGGATGCAGCTCAGAGGCAGGGAGCAAACCCAGAATCAGACAGAGAGGGGGACGGTTGGAGGACAGATTTCTGCATCACTGGGCTGACAAAACGCTAAGGAAACAACACAAACAGTTGGTCAAGGATCAAACCCTAGGTTCTACATGTGAGGGTGCCTATATGAAATGTGCCGCGAAACAGACCGTGGGAAAGTTGGCCTTTCCAATAGGAGGCAGTCATGAGCGTGTCCTTCAATGGCAGGTGATTAACTACTGAGTGCACCTGTGTGTATCTAATGTTCTGGAAAGCCATTCTTGCCTTACCCTGTCTGCGCACTGCTCCACCTTCCCCCTTTGACCCAGTTTCCAAGGTAAGCATCTTGCCCAGGTCATGTTCCTTTGCCTACAGCCCTTCAGTGGCTCCCTTGTCGCTGACAGAAGAAAACGTGTACACGTGAATATAGTTTACGGGGCCCCATGACGTGGTCTGTGTGCAGCATTCTGACCACACTTTCTACCTCTCCTCCTGCAATTTGGGCACTGTTCCACTGGCCTTCTTGGAGTTCCAGTGCCCAATGCAGGGCTCCCCAGCCCTCTGCCATCACTCATGCTCTCAGATCTGCCTAGAGTTACTGCCCAGCTCCCCTCCCCTGGTTTTCTCCTGTTCTATGCCTACCCATCCTCAAACATTCTGCTCAGACCTCACCTCCTCCAGGAAGCCTTCCCTAACTGCTGCTCCCCAGGATCTGGAATTCTGGAGCAGGCTACCTGGGCTTCTATTCTGGCTCTGCTCATTACTGATTCTAGGATCTTAGACAAGTTTCCTTTCTCTTGCAGTCCTCAATTCCTCATGTGCAAAATAGGAATACCCACACGAACTTTGCCATAGGGTTGTTCTGGGCTTCAATGAGTTAACACCTGTAAAGCATTGAGAACCATGCCTGGGACTTGGGGAGCCTCAGTGCTCATAATCATCACGGCGGTTACCACACTGGATTATAAACGTCCTCTTAGGCCACTGACTTCCCAAAAGATAAAAGGCTGGCAGTGTTCAGTTTCGCGTCTCCTCACCCAGCCCTGAACCCATACGTGGGTGTCTGTGGCATGTTTGCTGAAGTGACTGCAGCTTACAGAAAAGCATGGCGTGCTCAGATCACCAGACCCTCCAGGGCTCCCCACATCCAAGCCCCACAGGTCCCACTGGCAGTGGACATAAAGGCACTGTCTGCTAGAGGGGTGACTCCCGGTCCAGGATAGGTAGGCCCAGGGCAGGAGGCAGGTGAGGATCCTAGGGCTGTACCAGGTACAAGATGGGGGTGGGGGGCACACCATCCTTGGGAAATGGCCCGTAAAAGGAAGCCTCCACGGTTTGGCAGGGGCGATGGCTTATGGGGTTGTCCTGTGCTCCAGGAGGTAGAGGGTGGGCTGCCTGCTCTCACCGCAGACCCCTAACAGGGGTGTGTTAGGATCAAACAGGGGCTGTGATGATGTTCACCCAGCTCTTTGCTCAGGTTCCCAGAGGCTCCCTGCTGGCCGGAGCTCCTAAGGTCCAGGTGAGGCCAGAACTACCCCTGCCTGTCTGGGGTGGGGACGGCGAGGGGCGCTCACTGAGGACAGTCAGCCATGTCTTGCCTCTCAGGAAGCGCTGTTCTCAGAATGCAGCTTTGATTCTTTTGGATAACACAAAATGTTTTTATTTTGCATAATCTGCTCACACTCCCTTTGCCAGAGATTGCTCGAAGCCCAATCTGTGCTTCAATTTCACAACATGAGACCCGGTGACCTCTGTATCTGCTTTCTAATTCCAGCCCACCCCAGGCTGACCTTCCTTCCTAATTTATATTTAACATGGCCAAACTTTTTATTCTATTTTTAAATATTTTTGAAATACATTCCTGCATGCTGCTTCTGAGCCTTTGGCAAATAAAACAAAAACCAATCAACCAACCCAGGAACAGCTGAAATACAACAATTCCCTTCTGGTAGGCATTGGACATGTGCCTGCTTTTGCGTAGTGAACTGATTATACAGGAGGCCTTCGTCTAGGAATTTCAGGACACGGCAGAAGCCCATCATGGAAGTCACGGTCGCTAATCTCCCCACCGTGTCAGCACCTTTGCCCCCAGACCATCTCTGTGCAACTCCACACTGAGGACTCCATTTCCCAGAGTCCACTGGCACTGGGCAGCCACTGCCCCATAAATCAATGTCTTATTGGTGGGGATGCCCGCTCCTTCCTTACCTTTATTCCTTGGCCGAGACTTTCCAGGGAATTAATATCCAGCCCTTCCTTGCAGGCCTGCAGGCAGGAAATGACCTTCTGACTCTCCATTTTGCCAGGGCGGATGGTGAGACTGGCCAGGCTGCCGTGGAAGAATTGAGCAAACCGCGGTTTGGTGACTTCTCCTCCTAGAAGTGAAAGAAGCACGGTCATTTGCCCTGTGGAGATGAAACACCACTTCAAGGCCACCACCATCTGGCCAGGGAACCAAAGACACAGTGACTGTGTCCCCTCCACCTGAGCTTTTCCTTCGGAGCGGTGAGCTCAGCGGCCGCACTGCCGTCGAGAGGATATCATCTGCCGCCAATACCTTGGCACTCCCCAGCTGCACCTGATTTAGAAATCCTGGAATTCCTGAATTTTAAGCAGCTGCCTTCAGAGCCATGAACTGCTTTAGAAGACAGAAAGGGCCTAGAGAGTAAAGGTAGGAGGGAGCAGGAAGCGGCCACTGATGGCGGGCCTGCTGTGTGTCCTGCTGTCTGCTAGGGACTTCATCTGAACAAGCCTGCAAAGAAGGAACCGTCGTTTCCCACTGACACCTGAAGAAACCCGAGACTCAGCAAGGTTGAGGGACTTGCCCCAGGACACACAGCTGAACGCTGGAGCTGGTACCCTAGTCAGTCCCAGTCTGTCTGACCCCAAAGCTGGCCTTTGATTCCCTATATTCTACAAAGAGGCTGGCAGGCAGTCAGGGAATCCTAGAGCCCTACATCCACGGCCTCTGGCTCTCTTGCAATAAATTGGTTTTGTACCCACTTAAATTCAAGCTCTTTGGCATGGAAGGACTTCCTTGATTCTGTTCTACCTCTGACTTTCTTCTCATTGCCTACATCTCGTTCTCCACTGTTCTATCGGCTGGGCCAAGTCCTGAGGTCAGGCCTGCTCTTCAGCACGTGAGACTGTTTAATGCTGCTGGTCTCAAGTCCTCTCCTCTCATTTTCTCCAGGTCTCTAAAGGCTTCCCTGAGGTCTATTGGAATCCTCCTCCCCCACAGCCTTCCCAGGGCCCAGGCCTGTTCCATCTCTGAGCAGCCCACACGGACAGCCCAGCCTTGATCTTGCTCTCCTGTTTGTTCAGCGGGGTGGCAGGATGTATAAGAAACGTGGATGTGGGTCGAACTCCAGCCTTGCTAATTCCCGGGGAAGGTTTTGCAAATTCTCAGCCTCTGCTTGCTTGTAGGGGACAATTCTGGGTTTTGCCTCCTGGCTCTCCCACCCTTTCTCAGAAGTCTCCTGCAGTGTGTCCCCAGGGAAGTGTGCTCCAGTGAGACACCACCACCAAGGGCGAATTTCTGACAAGTTCTACTAGACTAGAAAGCTACAGTGACTTCTCTGCCCTCAACAAGCTACTCTGAGCCAGCAGAGCCTGGACCTTAGCTGGAGAGTGGGGGGAGGGCTCTCCCCTGGTCACCCCACCTCAGCCCTGGGGTAGTAGAGACTTCTAATACCTGCCTTCCTTTGTTCTTCAGAGTTCTACTTCTCAGGGGCTAATCCTTCATTATTCCAATTCTCCGTTAGTTAATAATTCTTTGTATTTACCTGTTGAAACTACGGTGTAGTTCTTCTCTCCCGATTGAGTCCACACTCAACACCCTCTACATTTGCACACATACTTTGCTCCCGCTTGTTCCTCTTCCCCCTAAGGCACCACCTCCAAACTGCTTACATTAGGCAAATCCCATCTCCTGTCCCCTGCTGCACACAAAACCTTTCATGAGCCACCCTGCCTACCACGCTCTGTGTCCTGAGCCCCCTGCTCACTGTGTCCTCTCCTTGCCCTGTGCCTTGGAGCGCTGACTTCATTTTCACATCCCCTCGCAACCCAGTGTTGCTAATGGTTTACACGTGTGCGTTTTATGTCCTCAATAGCCTATTACTGTGCTTCTCAACCTTGGCTGCGCATTTTAATCATCTGGGGATCTTTAAAAAGTCAACCTGATTCTGGTGCTGGGTCCTGCCCCGAGAGATTGTGACTTAATTGGCGGGGGGAGTTTCAGAAGGTCCTCAGGTGTGTTAAACGTGAAGTCAAGGTTAGGAATCACTGGCTAGAAGCTTCGTAGGTTGGGCCTCCTGCACGCCCCTGTGTGATCTCTCTCCTTTCTGCCACCCGCCGGCTTACCCTTCAGCCCTTTGCACGGTGCTAGAATGTGTTTGTTTAAGTCTCTCTCCTGGATGGCAGGGGGCACTCATGCATTATTCATTTTAATGAAGATGATACTGAGCAGGTATTAGGGGCCGAGGGCTGCACCAGGCACTTTGCCTAAGTTGACTCATTTATTCCTCTCAACAACACAGGGCCTCTGTGTCATCCCACCATCCTGCACCCTGCCTGGCACCCAGCAGACATTTCAAAACTGTTTCCTGAACTAAAAGAGACGGTGAGTTAATGCCAGCAGAGTACCGGGCATTGTGGTGTCTCCCCAACATCCATCTGCTTTCTTGTCACAGTGCCCAGAGGTTTGGCCGAGTGGACTTGAATTCCAGGGATGGATTCTATTTAGTCACGGTGAATCAGGTTTTCCTGTTTCCCTTGCTCTAGTGACTGACTCAGGTGTCGACTTGGGACCCAGTACCACGATGAAGCCAATCGGTGCCTGCGTCCACTAAATCACAGAGGCTGGCCCGGGAATAATTATGAGACCAAATTAGGCCAATGAGTTGAGAGGAGAAATTAACCAGCAGCCTTTGGGAAAAGAGCTTTCATTTTCTCTCCAGAAAGTTTCTGGAACCTGCTCCTGCTCTCTTCCCTGGAGATGATTACGTGAGGATGGAAGGCTAAGAGCTGCTGCAGCCATCTTGTAGGCCGACAAGGGATGACCAAGGTGACGCATGAAGGAGAGAAGGGCCAGGAGGATCCTAGCAGAGTGCTGAGTGGACCTCCTCACTGCTCTACCACAGGGCATCCTCAGCTGTGGGAGCCAATCATCCGTCTTTATGGCTTAAGCCCTTTGACTCACACTGTTGTTACTTGCCGCCAAAAGTGTCTTCACTTTGGAAATGAAACTAGAAGGTTCTATTGAAGTACTCAGTCCACGGGGAACTCTAAAGAGATTTGGCTTTGAGGAATGCCCTGACATGGCAATGACTTGGGAGTAGGGGGAACCCTCCTGAAGCCTTCTGATCTTAGTTATCAAAGCACCCATGGGTAGGGTCCTCCGTGCCATTAGTGTATTCCTATTCTAGCAAAAGGGGCACTTCTGTGGACCTGCAGGAAGAAGGGTGTGTCTTGGGTACAAGTCGCAGAGTTGCCACTCTCCGGGGCATTCAGAGGGTCATCTCTTCCCTGCTTTGTCCACCCCACTGTCCCCTTAGAGCAGCAGATACAGCAACTATCATTTACTGGATATGAACTACGTTTCCAACACTGTGCCAAGTCCTCAAGATACATCATCTTACTGAACCTTCACTAAACACTTGGATACGAGGTACTTATTCTATCGTTACAGTGGAGCAAACTCAGATTGAGAGAGAAGTTAGTGGCCCGAGGCCACACCAGTAGTGAAGTATGTGCCCCTCCAGTGTGAGCACATTCACTCCTGCACGGGGCCAGCTGGGGCATCCTGTTGTACCAGTGGCCCCATCCAGAGTGAGGTTGAGAGAGAGCCCTCTGTCATTCAGTCCCCTGAAATGCTCACTCTGCAGCACCAAGTTTATTTATTTATTTAAAAAATATTTTTTTTACATTTATTCATTTTTGAGAGACAGAGAAAGAGCACAAGTGGGGGGCGGGGAGGAGCAGAGAGAGAGGGAGACACAGAATGAGAAGCAGGCTTCAGGCTCTGAGCTGTCAGCACAGAACCCGAAGCGGGGCTTGAACTCATGAGCTGTGAGATCATGACCTGAGCCGAAGTCGGACGCCTAACCGACTGAGCCACCCAGGCGCCCCTGCAGCTCCATGTTTAAAGACCAAACTTTGTGACTCTCTTGGATTCTTAGACATTTTCCAACGCACCATTTTCTCTCAGCAAAACATTCATATTCTGTATTTTTCACTCAAGAATCCCACATCTATGGTGCACTGTATTTATTAGTGATGCAGCTCCAGGAAATCAATTCAATTAGCACTTTGCAATAGGAGGCCAGCATAAAATTTGAAATATATTTGCACTCAGGGGTGGTTGTGATTCAGGATTTAAAAAATAATAGATACATTGAAAATCTCTTTTTAATATCTGGGGTGTCTTCGTAAACCACATGGCTCCTCTGTTAACATTTAGACACAAACATGCTCATGAATTATTTGAAGGAAAAAAAAAACATAACCTGATTTCTTACACAAAGAACTTTCTCTAAATGTTTGCGAATGTGATTTTGGATTCTTGAGGCTAGATCTGCACACATTTTTAAAGTGTTTGCTGAATGTCTAGCCCTCTGTTATATTCAGTTAATTATAAGATATAGACCATGCTCTCTAGGAACTTACATTAGTTGGGAGAATAAAGTGTAGACAATGGGAAGATAAAAATCTAAGAGTAAATTGCTAGTACAATAGATGTTCTAAGGCAGTGCATGATTAATTTCCAAACAAATGACAGAGATGATGTGTCCAACAGATCATAGGGGAAAGAATAATAGCCATTGTTTATGAGGCCCTTAAAATATGGCAAGTGCTTTCATGTTCTATTTTATTTAATACTTAAGTGGCAGGATAGTACGTTTGAGATCTTAATCTGTCTATTCTTTTGATTTTTTCCTATTTCTCCCACCTTACCCTCCATTTAGACACATATCTGGCTTTTGCTCATTGCCACAGGGAGGGTTGTGACAAGGAGAAGAGCAGATCGGGCTTAAAGCTGAGCTTCTTCCTCGGTTTTGTTTCCAGCAGCCTAAGTCCTTAGGAGGATGGAGAAGATCTGGGTATGGATCAACATTTGGGGGAAAATAGAGGAAGAAAATCTGGCTTCCCCCAGAGGAGAAAATGTTGCCCTGGACTGGGGAGGGAGGCTGGCAGGGAGGCAGCAGAGGGGGATAAGGCACAGGGGTGCTGAGTGAGGCACCTAAAGCCCGCCACCTGGGCTGAGCTGGGGCTGGGGAGCATTGATGCTGGAGGGAATGCCTGCCTGTCGCATCTGGACAGACAGGCAGATGGACCGCAGATGGTCTTACAGAGAGAGCATGAGAAGCAGCGA